ACAGAGTGGCGGGGTGTGGGCTGAAGGCTGGCACCCACCTCAGCTTCCCAGACTCCATAATGGCCATGCGATCACACACAACCTCTGCCTCTGCCACGCAATGAGTGGTCAGGAGGGCGCCTGTCTCTGTGTTTCTACAGGTAGCATAATGGCCACCTATATTGTCTGGAGAAAGGTGGCAATTAATGGATTCTCCGGCCCACCTAGAAATGATGAAGGGGACAGTTCACATGGCAGAAATGAAAATAATCACTGCAGACTGAGCAAGCGTGAGTCAGGGGAGGTGGACTGGCAAAACGGCTTCAGGGGGAGCCCTGGGGACTTAAATGAAGGACAGGCATGAGAGAAACACTCTGTGCAAAGATACGTGAAAGAGAACTTCTGAGCAGAAACTACTTGTTCGTGAGAAAGATAGGGAAGGTAAACGGGGGTAACCAGATGTGCAGGGCTCTCAAGACCTTCTTGGTTGAGCAATGCACAGAATGCACACAGGCAGCAGCAGCAGAAACTTCAGATCTTAAGGCTCAAGAAACCAGATCTTCCTGCCAGGATTAGCATTACTGACAACCACACTAACAGGAACCCATCTCATTCAAAAGGATTTCTGGAAGTGAAATGAATATCTTCAGGAAATTGGCACCAAATTTTCTTGAGGAGGGCTCAGTGTTCATCAGTTGCTATTTGAGTATTTATTTATCAACTTACTCTTGACATATAATTAGAAAAAATAGCTTTTATTTCAAGGGAATTTGTTTTTCATTTGCAGAACATTCTATCTCATCAACAGTACTTATTATGGATCTGTGTGACATTTTATATAGAATTGGGTTTTTTTCAACTGTATCAATAGAAATACCAGCTTTAATAGACACCAAATCCAAGAAAACTAACAGAGCCAGACAGTGAATTATTTCTACCGCACTGTCCTTTGAACACACCAGCAGGACGAAACTGCTGAGTGCTTAGAATTAGGGTTTTTATAAACACAATGAAAATAACAGTTACATTCCTGTTTTGCCATCAGCCCAGTTATCTCATTATGACCTCTCTTGCTTTGTGATAAAACTTCTGTTAGTAAAGACACTAATAAAACCCATTTAGTTCATTTCTTGTAAACACCAGGTCTTCCATTTACACAAGCAATTCATTAGGACGAGTACCTACTTTTAAGACCAAGATGGCCATCTCATAACAGAAGGTCAGTACCTGGCATGTAATAGGGACAGATTCATGTGACATCAGTTTCACAAACAACCCTCTGTCCACTTCTTGTAACATCCCACAGATAGTCATATCGTTGAGGTTTTCTTGTGGAGTAAACTTGGCCCCAAATGTCTATAAAGCCAAACAAACTTCTGGGGAAGATATGCATATAGTATCAGATCAAAAACAAGAACTGTGGGGCCAGGGAGTTGGCTCAGTGTAAAGAGCCCACCATACAAGTGTGAAGCCCTGAGTTCAGATCTCCAGAGCCCACGTACAAGCTGGCTATGGTTGTGTGTGTCTGTGATCACAGCACACAAACCAGAAACTATATTTACCTTTCCTACAGAGAAGCCTGGGCAAAAAGTCTCCGGAGTTCCACATGGAGCTGCCCCACCTGTGTGCGGTTCTTTTCCTTCACCTCCAGCAAATATTCTTTGCCAAATTTTACTCTTTAGGTGTTGCATGGATCCAGTGCACCAGAAATGCACGAGGAAAGTAAAGCAAGCACTCCTAGGGATATGTTCAAGTTTCTATTCCATCACTACATCTATAACCAGAGTATTCCCACTTTTAAATAGGGAAGCAGTACCTCCAACTTTTCCCCATATTGGTGACTTATTCTAAAGCAAAACCCTGCTTTTCTCTGATGGTGACAGAGTGGTGGGGTGTGGGCTGAAGGCTGGCACCCACCTCAGCTTCCCAGACTCCGTAATGGCCATGCGATCACACACAACCTCTGCCTCTGCCACGCAATGAGTGGTCAGGAGGGCACCTGTCTCTGTGTTTCTACAGGTAGCATAATGGCCACCTATATTGTCTGGAGAAAGGTGGCAATTAATGGATTCTCCGGCTCACCTAGAAATGATGAAGGGGAAAGTTCACATGGCAGAAATGAAAAATAATCACTGCAGACTGAGCAAGCCTGAGTCAGGGGAGGTGGACTGGCAAAACGGCTTCAGGGGGAGCCCTGGGGACTTAAATGAAGGACAGGCATGAGAGAAACACTCTGTGCAAAGATACGTGAAAGAGAACTTCTGAGCAGAAACTACTTGTTCGTGAGAAAGATAGGGAAGGTAAATGGGGGTAACCAGATGTGCAGGGCTTTCAAGACCTTCTTGGTTGAGCAATGCACAGAATGCACACAGGCAACAGTAGCAGAAACCTCAGATCTTAAGGCTCAAGAAACCGGATCTTCCTGCCAGGATTAGCATTACTGACAACCACACTAACAGGAACCCATTTATAGCCATAACCCCAAGCAAGCAGATTAAAGCTGAACAAGGATTGGCTTTTACAAAGCCCGTTTCCCTTGCAGTGAGAACTGGTTGTGAATTGTCAGAAATTTGTTTTTCCGCAAAACATTAGTTCCTAATGATATGAATGGTGTTTGCTACACTTATTTTGATTACCTAACAATATTAGTGAAATTCAGAAACTCTCTAGCAGGTATGGGTGCAGCCCTGGTTGTGGGGAGCGCCTTACAACATTGCTGTTGCCCCTCGGGGTCCATCCCAGTCGACAGCTCATCCAGCAGCACCACAGACGGGTTCCCCAGGATGCTCAGCACAAAGCACAGCTACAACAAGAGGGACAGCCCGTCCGGCACTGCACTGAGGGGATGCTCAGAGTCACACTGAGCCCTGTACATACCTTTCTCTTCAGTGCCTCTGACAGCATCTTTACCGGAGTCTTCAGCTGGTCTCACACCTTGAGTGCGTCCACCAACCTGTAGGAAACAGTTGAACATCACAGTCCACTCCACAATGAGGACACTGATGATAAGCAAGCAGGTTAAAGCTGAACAAGGATTGACTTTTACAAAGCCTGTTTCCCTTGCAGTGAGAACTGGTTGTGAATTGCCAGAAATTTGTTTTTCTGCAAAACATTAGTTGCTAATGATATGAATGGTGTTTGCTACACTTATTTTGATTGTCTAACAATATTAGTGAAATTCGGAAACTCCCTAGCAGGTGTGGGTGCAGCCCTGGTTGTGGGGAGCTTCTCACCACATTTGCTGCTGCCCCTCGGGGTCCATCCCAGTTGACGGCTCATCCAGCAGCACCACAGACGGGTTCCCCAGGATGCTCAGCACGAAGCACAGCTACAACAAGAGGGACAGCCCATCCAGCACTGCACCAAGGGGATGCTCAGAGTCACACTGAGCCCTGTACATACCTTTCTCTTCAGTCCCTCTGACAGCATCTTTACCGGAGTCTTCAGCTGATCTCACACCTTGAGTGCGTCCACCAACTTGTAGGAAACAGTTGAACATCACAGTCCACTCCACAATGAGGACACTGATGAGAGGATGGGGCAAGGCAGGACAAGATGGGGAGTGAGGCCCACACACGCAGTTCTAGAAATACATTGGAATATTCAACAAGGTCAATCTGGCAAAGGCTGTGATTCCCCCCAGAGAGATACATTTTGATTCTTGCAAAACTGTTAGCACATTTCATGGTGTCCAAATACTTTTGTGATTTATTTTATATTTAAATGTTAAGTACACTCAATCCTTTATCATTGAATACTATTTTCTTTCAGTGTTTACTATGAGAATGAAGAAACTTCCTAGGTTTTCTCTACCTGCCCAGCATTAGAGCCTCCTATGCCAAAATTCCCGCAAAAGTTATTATCTTCAACCTCCCCCCCCCGACTGTCTAGGAACAGAAAAGAACAGATGCAGCAGTCCTGTGCACCATATAATGCCCACTGTGGCATTGCCTTTGCTCAGTCCCTTTACCTCGGCAAACACCTCTAGGTGTTCCCTCACAGTCAGGTTGGGGCACAGAGTGTGGAAAGATTCTATCCATTTCTATTAATTATTTTCTTCAACAGATCTCTGTTGGGTACCATATGGATAAGAGGAATTAACTTGGCTAGTTTTTTACTATCTTTAGTTATCTTTTTAGAGGCATTCCACATTCTGGAGGTTTTACATAGACCCTTCCTTTAATTTTTTTATCCTTGATAAACTTATGAGTGCTGGCTCAAGGTGCCTGACCCTGCACTGAACTAAGGAAGAAGAGGGCCCCTCTTGCCTCTGCTGTACCTGTTGGTTCCCTAAGTCATGTAGGCCCTGGGTCTGTCTCCTGTGCTGTCTCTTCATTGACTATACCTGACTGCTGGGGAGGGCCCTGGCAGGAAAACTGCCTCTACCCCTAGTATAACCTGGTGAACAATATTGATCATTAGGAAAGCAATGGCCTTAACAGACTAGGAAGAGTGTACTTTGAATGGTTTAACAAAAATAAAACAATATGATTTTCATGTCAGCATAACTGTGCCCCTGTCAAAGGGGAAAATGATTTCCATGAGAAGGAAATAGTCAAGGCCATTCTGCAGGCAAAAATAGAGATAGTACAGCTTGTGAGAATTTAGATTCTGAAGGTCAAGGACTGAAGTTTGTAGGCTGTTTCTGAGGTAAAAATAAAAGAGTTGCTGTGTTTAACCTTTTCTAACACAGAAAGAGATGACTCTCATTGCTACCTTTTTCATTCTCTTAAAAACACAGCATTTCTTCTTGTCTGTGTACCCCTGGCAATAATGGCAGGCTTCTGTAAATGTCGTCAGGCCAGGGAATGATTTTCATAAACATATATATGCATGCATTAAAAAATATGCGTAGTAAAATCACCTTGGTTTGGCCTTGATATTCATAGCTATTGTTAGCTAGTACAGCTATAATCTGCATAATCTTGTTGGTGTCCAATAAACAGACATTTTGATACCCCAGAACTTTATTGTTATTGTTTTAGAAACATAACAATAAATAATTGTATAATGTTTAATAATAGTATTAAATATTTTTGAAGTCCATCTGTACTTTAAATTTCAGCTAAAGTCCATTGATTTAGTATTTAATGTTCCAAAATAATAAAATTCTATTATTGTTTCACATTCGGGAATGAATTATTGGCTTTGAAAGGGACATTCTTGATTTCACATCTCATAGACTTTCTTTGAGTCACTGAAGGGAAATATCTACTTTAAGAAGTAAAAATAAAACAGAATGTCTCCTCCTCACTGCCATTTCCAGTGCAGTTTGAAGCAAACTTATATTACTATGACCAGCGTTGAAGACTTTAAGATAGTAGAAAACAATGGAAAATTTGGTTGATTTAAATGATTAGAAGTTGGTTATAATGTAACTGTAGGATATTTATTCAGGATAGCATGGATGTTTACATGCTGAGCCATTGATTCATAGATGCTTGCAGATTGCGGAAATGAAATAATGAAGTAAAGGAACACAAAAGGAAGATGAGGAGAGATGGATGAGAGGATGGAGATAAAGGAAAGGAACAATGAGAAATAGATAAAAAGCAATTTCATAATTAAATCTCTGTTCTCTTTGGAACCAGAAACCAAGATCCGACATTGAGAATACAGGTTTCCATTTGCAACTATCCCCAAGAACCCCACAAAGAGTTCCCATCACTGTAAAGTTGCCTTTTTTGAGTTCCTTGGTTATTACAAACTTCCAACTTGCTTGCAGAAAGTTGACAAAGTTGGTTCTCCCAGTTCTGCGTGTTTTACGATGTTTCTATTAGGAAATGGAAATTCCAATCTGCCCACTCTCCCACTGTGTCGCTGTTACCCCGCCAAACACTCTCAGTGATATATAGAGCATTGTAGACAAAAAATCATGAAAATGCTGTTGTGTGACACTAGTTAAGTTCAAATTTTTTTTATAGCATTTATCTTTTTTTCTCATATTATTGATTTCAGATTCTGTATATTGGTGGTTATGCCACATCAATTATCTTT